TTGTTCCTTTTAATGTATTTTTTTTTCTTTTTTTTTTTTTGCGCTTTACAACATATTGAACGAGACACCGTGAAGAAGCTAAATGCTGAAGTCGCATGTATGCGTTTAAAGGTAGTCCGCGAATTACAACTTAGCGAGCACGAAGGTACATTGTACAAAATGTTACTTACATCTATTATATTATAAACATATTTACATCGATCAGTCAAATAAATATTCCTTTTAGTCTTTGCGTGTCTAACGATGCTAAATAATTAGCCGATCGAACCCCAACTGTTCGATATTCGTATCTCACTGCGTATGCAAAGAATTCGCGCGAAAGTAAAAGAACAATCATGGTGGCGGCGGTGGTGGTGGTATTGTTGTTGTTGTTGAACAAAATATCTCTACCGTTGTACTCTAGCGTACCATTTTTTTTTTCCTTTTTTTTTTTTTTTTAATTCTTATCGTATTCTGCCTCGATTTCGAACATAGCGTCAAAACTCTTAGCAGACACTACCGTTTAAGCTCTCGCGTAGCTAGAATCGCGTCTAAATTTTGATTCGCCGAGGAATCACAAAGGTACGATCGCATTCACGAAAAATGGACTTTTTTTAACCGACTATGCTTAGTTAGTCATTGGAAAGGACTACCGTTCCATAGAGTTTTCTTTTTCTTTTTTTTTTTCTCTTTTTTTTTCTTTTTTTTTTTATCTCTCTTCGATATGATTTTCCTTTTCGAAACTAATTTTTGCTCTCTTTGAAAACTTGTTATACTCTCGAAGTTTCACAATGTGTTTTTCGTTTCTCTTTTTTTTTTTTTTTTCGTTTTTCTTTTTCACGTGATACGATGTTATAAAATGATAGATTTGGTCGCATCTATAATCTGCTACTTATAATAAATGTGTACGGTACGATGTTTCTGTTATTACCTCTCGTTACATTGTATATCACAGAGTTCAATATATAATTTCTTACGCGTTCCTTTTGCGGCATCGGGCGAAACTTTTGAAAATAATTGTTGCTTATTCTGTTGCTTACTCTCTCTTTCTCTCTTTCTTTCTCTCTCTCTCTCGTTTACAAAATGTTCTTAAGATAAGTATTCCCGACGATTAATCGGTTTTCACGTTACATCCGAACGTTACGATATAATGGATAATCTCTACAAAAAATATTAGAATTTTTAAGTAACTACTATTTACAGCGATAATATATATCATGTGTCGCGTAACTCGCACGCAATCGGTACAACCTAATTTCAGTATTCTGACAGTACAATACAAGTTTGCGTGGCTTTCGATCAACCAGCTCCTGTCGTTCGGTCCCGAGCGAACGGTTGATCATTGTACTATTACAATTCCATCTCGCGCCTTCTCATTTTCGGTCTTTTAAACAAAACAGTATCGTAGAAATATTTGAACAGAATTATTTCGTGCATTCCTCGCAGATTCGCGCGTTTCCATCCGGATGATCGATAGACTAGAATATTTGAAATAGAACCCTATGAACTTCTTTCCACCTGGCTGGCTTTACCTACTTGCCCAATCGAGGTAACACTATTAGCGAAATTTCACAAGTCACGGGCAGTTGAACACTGAACAACAAATATCTTTGCACAGCATCAACAACAAATTGGTAACGATAATAAAAACGAATGAAACTTTCCAAACGAATCTTCTAAATTTAAATCGACTTACATAAAAAATCACGGTTAAAAAGGAAGTGATGCATCTACTTATCATCAGTTAGCGGTTAAAAATCCTCACACCAATCTATCACGCGTGACTTGTCAATTCGCTAGTATCATTACTCGGTAACGTATCGTCGCGCAATAGTGTCCCGATCGTCTATTTTTTAACAGCCGACGTTTCAGTTTTGCCGGCTGCACGCTGCGTTTTATGCACGCTGGCAATCGTCCTCGGCGCGTTGACGTTCTTGTTCGCCTCGAACTTCTGTTGAAGGGAGGCCACGTTGGATTTACTGCTCGCCGCTCTCTGCACCGTGTTCGTTTTCGCCCCCGGATCCTTCGTCTCCGTCTTGGGGCTTGGTTTCGGTTGCGAGGGCTTCGTAGCGGGCTCCTTCGCGGCCAACGACTTGCTCAGGCTCGCGTTGCCAGTCGGTGACTTCTTCTTCTCCGCGAGACTAGTACCTTTGGACGCAATGCTCGTTGGTTTTATCGGGGTGGCGGGCGCCTTGGCGGCGGCGCTGCCTCGCGACAACGTCGGCGTCTTTTGAACGTTCCTCGGCTGGTGGTTCAGCTTCGCGTTGTTTCCTACGACGTCCGGCGACTTTGTACTGATTTGATTGGAATTCGAACAGCTCGACACTAAGTCCGGACTGTTGAACTTCCCCCCGTTATCCTTAGGACTACAAGGCACAGTTTTCAGAGATAATCTATTTACGTTCGCGTGAGAGTTCTGATTCTCTGGGTTGTCGTTGCCACTACTCGCGTCCGAATTCTGCCCGGCCACGTTCTCCACGCTCGCGTTCGATCCCTGCTTCTTTAAACTACTGTCAGAATACTGTTTCGACCTCGACGCGGTCGACTCTGAACCTTGCCTGGTGGCATTCGCGTCTTTCGCTTTGCTCGCGATGTTCGGCGGCGTCTTCGTCCTTCCGAGGGGCGGTTTCGCTGGCTCCTTCCCTTCGTTCGCCCCTTCGGCCCGCTGAGTCGGCCGAACTTTCACCGACAGAACCGGTTTACGAGGCCCAACGTCCTCCGTCGTCGTGGTTTTCATGCCAAGTTCCTTCGATATCTCGTCGTTCAAATTCGCGTTCGTTGCACCGGAAATAGACAGCGACTTGTCGTTAGTAGGCTTGCCCGCGTCGGCGACTTTCTCAGGCTCTTGTCGCGGCACGTTCAACGCGGATGGATTCAGGTAACCGGAGCTGGTCGTCGAACTCGACGAGTTGAACTTGCCGGACGCGGAGTTGGAGTAAATGCTACCACCTGGCGACTTGTAGTGGCTCGAGTTCATGTAAGTGCCGAGGGAACCGTTGTAACCGGGATCCTCGGCGGTGTTCTTCGACGCGGTCTCGTTTCCCTGCGCCTTCCTCGACAACGTGGCCGTCGAGTATATCGAGTCGAAGTTTCGGTTCGATATCTCGGACACGATCTCCGACAGCAGGCCCATCGACTCCAATCCGCCGGAATTGACGGCCGTGGAATCGACGCGTTTCGGTAATTTGTACTCGTTCTCCGTCTGCTGCTTCTCCAGTTCCGTGTTCTTCCTGCTCTTCTCGGGAAGAGTCTCCTCGATGACCGCGTATATATTGTCGTTGGTCGGTGACTCCTCGGTTATCTTTGCCAACGACGACGAGTCCGAGATCAGGTTCATGCAGTCGTCGTACGCGTTCTCCACGACCTTCTGCGGGTTCTTTATCTGCGGTGTCTGATATCCAGGTAGTCCAGGGATCTTTCCGCTTTCGTTGATCTTGTCGGTGGTTGCTGGGACTGGTGGTCCCGGTGGTGGAGCCGTGGGCCTTGTGCTCGCGGGAATGCTGGTGGGTCTCTTGACCGGTGTTGTCTGCCGCATCGAACCGAACGTCTGAATCGCCGGCCTCGGTGTGATCTTGCTGTCCCTCATGGACTGTGCTCGCAGCACCACGTTCCTCCTCTCTGCCTCCGCCACCGGCATCACCGGGATAACCGGCGTGAGGATTTCAATCTCCTTCTGAGGAATGGGATTCGAAATTTCCAGGTTCCTCAAGATCTCCTTGTCAATCACTTTGTTCGCCTTGTGATGGTGGACCCTGGGCAGCGAGTTCGTGTTCTTCTCGTGTTCCCTCTGAGATATTTGCACGCTCGCCTTCAAGATCCCGGAATTCGGCCGGAGCATCGAGGCGATTCTGTTCAAAGTGCTGCCCTTCTCCGGCTTCTTTTCGGTCTCCGGTATCAGCAGATTGGCCAGAGGCGTGCTGCTTGGTCTCTGAGGCTTCTGATGGTCGACAGAGACGGGCGGTGCCGGTGCTGGTCTCGTTGGACCGTCTACGACAGGCTTGCCAACGATTTTTGGAGCCACCAGTTCCACGGAGGTGCACGTGGTCGCAGCCAGTACCGGGCTGCTGATCAGAGGACGAGCTGTACACCCTGGGTTCAACGGAGGCAGAGTCGGCGCAATCGACGACGACACCTCGTTGAAACTGGTCGTGGAGTTGAGCAACGAGCTACGCGCTGGATTACTCTTCGGTAGCGTCTTGATGTTAGTCTTAATAGCTACTGTCGGGATGGTGGGCGGAGGAGGCGCCGGCTTGCTCGGCTCGGGGCTCTTCGGCCGGCTTTTGATCGGTGTTATCGTGAAACCTTTGAAGTGGCCGAACAAATTATTGTTGTAACGCTCGTCGGTGTCCGCTTTCGGCAACAGACTCGCGCACGCTGGATCCTGACTCAGACTAGAATCGATCGTTTCGATGTTACGAGGCAAGGGACTGGAACGATCGATCGTTTTGATGGACAGTCCGTTGTGGCCGCAATCGGTCCTGAAAATTTCAAGCACAATCGTAAGCTGGGGGGAATCCAGGTGTTCAAAGCACACGCCATCCAATCAAACCACAAACCACAAGATTTCTGATCTAACAAGGCCTTTTACTTCCCCTTACACGAATCGTCGCGAAACACAGTGCAATCCACATGCAGCTTTTGCAACAAACGTACAACAGACTCGTCGCGCGACGAAACGCAGCCATTCAGACGCGGAGATTCTCGTTCGAACGCATGCGGTGAACTTGCAGGGAAAGTTAGTCAAAGATTAAAGTGTTAGTAGCAAGCCCTCTGGAGGAAGGAAGATTCTTGATTACATAAGAAACATCTGTAGATTCTGTATGAAACACTACGTTTATTCAATAAACTTGTACAATTGATCCGTTCGGGGTGTGTGAGCAATTTTCGAGAACCACCGGAGGGGGGCGGAACGACAGCATTCTAAGTTGTATTTTCTGCTTTCTTACAGATCACAATCGACGATTGATTTCCCACGGTTAGATATTTTCTCTTTCAATTTGATACTTGATAAATGTCAGACTTTTCTGTACAAATGTTGTGCACGAGTATTTGTACTTTGTGAGTATTAATTTTAGAAGAAAGTCAGAAAGACAACGGGAAAGGGACTCGTCGTGCTTTCCTCGTGTGGTTTTTTTTGTTTTTTTTTTTTTTAATAATTCGAATGATTGCTCGCTAAAATATAATCAAACGTCGAGCTCTGTTCAATCATTAAAATCATCGTATGTTAATACTGACTTTATCGACTCCATTGCAAACAAGACGTTCAATAATCTTAAAATGCAAAAGAAAAAGCCATCGAAAAAGAAACTCACACATGCTCATGCTTGTGTAATAACATTAATTTTCTATGCATGCTCTATATGTCGCGGCTCTCAACTTCCCTTTCGCAACGTGATTTCGCTCGTTTAGGTATTGTCAATTGACTTAAATAACAGTGGCAATTAATTGGCCAGAAATAACGCAAAGTATTGCTTGTTTCACGTTGCCCGAGTCGGTAGAGAGCCGTTCTCGTTCTATTTTATTATCACTCACTTTTTGACAATACTACCACATGACGTAATATGCATACCTTGAATGCACGCAACAGTTTAAAATTATATTAAATGTAAATTGCTTGAGCATGAAATAATGAATGAGGATCAGGAGAAGGACACGATAAGCGCTTATACTTTTCTTGACTTCCCAACTGGTGTGACAATACGAGTAATTGGAAACGACGATGACCTTGTTAGGTTCGAAGATAATGTAAATGTTGAAAAATAGCTGACAAGTTGAAAGTGGAGATATATATATATATAATTAAGACTAAAACTAAAGATATATAATTAAGACGAATAATACTTTTGTATCTTACAAAGAGTAATATATATTTTTCAAATTTTAAACGAGTATGAAAGAAGACTGAATGAAATGACAATTGCGATTGATCGACGAGGCATTAGAAAGGTAGGAAGTCTTGCTCTTATCGTGTTCCTTTCCATAAGTACGAGTGAATAAATAAATCACTTGCACGCGAAATATTCGCTTCGACATCTACGTTACAAATAAAACAAAAATCATCGTCTTTCTGCTAGATTATTTGTAAAAAAATATCATTGGCGTGCTCTGTTTAAAAAAAAAACGTGCACAGCAAACGTGCAAAGACGGGCAGGAGACGTTTACTCAGGAGTTACGCGGTGCCCGGAGATTAAATACATTAAATTCTATCTTCGACAGAGTATTTGTATTATTGCGACCAACGTTATAACAACTTAAAAATCACAGCGTGCTTCTTAAGATCGTTTTGGCAACGACGAACGATACGATTCAATTGAATTAACCGCCACCGCTATTTTCAACCCTGTACGCCATAATGCAAAGGTCATAGCTCTCTCTCTCTCTCTCTCTCTCTCTCTCTCTCTCTCTTTCTCGTGTGAAAATTTTGCTGCGACCTTCGCACTAAAAGAAAAAAAAAAAAAAGACTAACCCATTGAGGGCCAAAGTTGCAAATTTGACGAGTTACTTCGTCAAACGTTTGGCCGCCGATAGGAGGACGCTGTGAAGTGAAGGAGAAACACGACAGAGAAAAGTAAAGACAGTTCCAGCGGGATAAAAGGAAATGGTTTCAAATCTTTGGTTTCAAACTTTGAGCGGGTGCCGGCGGAGGTGGCGGCTTTTTGTTGTAAAAGGGAGCGGGTGCCTTGAAGCACGGCTTGTTATCAGGCACCAATGGGTCACCTGTCCTTGGCGTAACGCCAGTGCTACTGCCACTTCGACTTTCGTTCAGATGCTCGAACTTCACTTCCGTTTTAACCGTCAGCCCTTTCACGTTCTTCGTCGGCTTTTTCTGCATCTGTTGAATACGTTCCGCTATTTTCGTCCCTAATTCCGTCCTAATGGAATTTTTCCTCGCTTGGCCGTCTACGAACGAGGGCTGAGCAGCCTGATCGGAGTCAGAGACGTCGGCTGGTTTCCTACCGGCGACGCTCTGATCCACGTTGCCGAGCAACATCGACTTTCTCATCGCGATGCTGTTGCTGCAGTTAATGGCGTCTGGGTTAGTGGTCGATATCAGATCGGCCTTTGTTATCTGAAGCTTCTCCTTCGCCGGAAGATTGTCGCTGACCGTGAATATTCGATCCGTGTTCCGCGAGCCCTCCCGCCGCGGTGAGAAGAATATGACGAACCTCTCGTAAAAGTTTCTACCGAACTTGTGACCACGAGGATTCGACCTACGAGCACCGCGCGACGCGAACGCATGCGGCTTGCATTTCTCTGTAACGCGGTCGAGATTTGATACGTACGTTGACATCATGTTCTTCTTCCAGTGTTGGCCAGGATTTCTCAAGTACCAGACGCCGAACGAGGACAGCGCGATCATCGGCACGATCCCCAAAAAGATAATGTACAGGGCCATTATGAAGTCGTTTCTCGCTGCAACCAACAGACACGAAGACCAGAGAGAGGGGAAGATTAGTTTTATCAAACTTTAAACTTGCAAGCTCGGTATTGCACGACGAAATTCACTTACCGTTTGGATCCTCCGCGGGCCCGCTGTCCTCGGAGCCACCCACGCCAGGTTGGGTGCAATCAGGTGGCCGGAAGCCGCGATTGCAATGACAATGGCCGAGACTGTTGCACACTCCGTTGCCTCCGCAATTATTGGGACACGCTTTCCCTCCGGATACGGAAGCACGCAAATCGGCCACCGGCATACACTTTTGATTCACGCACATCTAAATAAATCGAGATCAGATGATTTCAATCACGTGACAAATCGCATTGGGAGAAGCTCCTCCAGCGTAGAGTCTTTCAGTGTCCATCACTATCTGAACGCCTTTTGAAATACACAGTGAGTTTCAAGAATATTCACGCTTTGAATGATTGTTATTTCTTGAAACTGCAAGTTTCAGGTATTCTTACGAACGGAGATGTATGCTGGAATATCTAAGCTTTCCAAATGGTATAAACTTTATTATAAAAGAAAAAAAACATTTCAATATAACAAAAATGCGATTTTAAGTTATACATTATAACGAAATTGGCGTCACAATTTCCCACTTATAAAATCAAACTATTTATATATTTAGATAGCCTTGGTGTCATATCTTGTTCGATTACGTTGTTGTCACATTAGTATGCGGTATCGCTTCACCAAAGTCAGACAGTGTAGGAAATGGGGCGAGAAAGTAGTGAAGTTTCAATAACCGAGAGAAAAGTAATATATAAATTGCATATGGGAGGCAAATCTTGCATGTAAATTGCGAATTTAGTTAGTAAGAGTAAATCGACGATACAGTATATGGAGTATAAAAATTTTAAACAAATGGAGACGTTATGAATAAACAACGCAAAGCTTAAACGGCTCGAGAGGAAAAAGCAATTATTAGAGAAGTAAAGAAAAATTCAAGGATAAGTGACCCAAAATTGGCATCAATTGTCTTAAAATACTCTGATAAGCAAGTATCTGCAGAAACTTGCAGAATTTATAATATTTAATATTGCATAATTGTATATATTTTTATATTTCAACTTGTACGGGTACGAATACTCTTGTGACACCAATTTCGTTATAATGTACTTAAAATTGCATTTTTGTTACACTGAAATGTTTCCTTTTATGAATGAAATTCCAGCATACATCTCTCCTTTCATAAGAATACCGTAGCTTGCATTTTAAAGAAACAATTAATCACTCAATGTGTGAAATTGGAGGAGCACTCTTGAGACTCATTGTAACTAATTGCAGTGAGTTAATCTTTCTATTAAACTAGCTTTACTCAAAAATTCCAAAGCTTTCCGGTTACCTTTCCAGGTGCGCACTTGGCACCGTCCGGCGCGAGACCAGGATCTACCTGGTTCAATCCGAGGTCCACGATAGCCGAGCGACAGGCTATGATCTTGCCTCCGTTGTTGATAAACGAATGACTGAGAATCGCCACGGACTCCATACCGAATTCGAGTCTTTCGTTCAGGTGCTTGCAGTGAAGCATTCCGCACAAAAGATTTCTAGAACAGGAAAGGGGCCGAGCTTATTACCTATCGAATTTGTCAATCTGTCACCGTCTCTCTTACTCAAAGTATCCAACTTTCTTTTCGATTTCTAATCTTTCAAAACTCCACAACGACTCTTTTTCTTCTAGGTATCGTCGACAATAGATAAGGAAAACGATCGATGCGTCTTACTCGTCGGTACACTTGACGTAGCTGGACTCGACTCGATTGTAACCGCAATTGCCGTGCTTCGAGCCTTTGTTGTTCATCTCGTAGCATTGGGCGTCGGAGGAGATGCCGGTGGGACCCCACAACAGTTTGCATTGGTCGTTGTGTGTCCTGCACGAGCCCTGGTAGCAAAACGCTTTCCCCATGCTGCACGATTCACCGTCCATCTTGAACACGTCGACCGGGCAATACTCGCTCTGGCCGGTGCAGTACTCCGGCAGGTCGCACTCGTGCTCGGCGGATCTGCACTCGGTGCCCGCTGTTTTCGGCCGGCAGGTTTTCAGATCGCAACACTCGCCGGTGGCGCAGCTCGCGTTGCTATGCAGCATGCAGGTGGTCACGTTGCAGCAGGGATTGTCGCAGTTCTCCTTCAGGCCGCAGTCGCACTGCTCGCCGGGTTCCACGAACCCGTTACCGCAGATCGGGCTGTCGAACAGCTTCTGCGGTTTGTTTCTCAAACAGTAATCCATGCCGTGCTCGAACGCCAGTGCCAGATGCTCCAGGGAGCAAGTGGACCAGTGAGTCGGTCCCAGCGAACCGCTCGACGATGCCATGATACATCTGTAATCAGATGCAATCGAGCGTGTTTAAACCCCGGCCCTGTTCGGCTCTAGCGAAAATGACGGTGATCGTAATGACGCCATCCTGCGCGAATGCAGATCAACGGCACTGGTTTCACAGACCGCAGACGAGAAGGCCGTGGGATCGCGATGATTATATATGTTTGACGATTAATACCTATTGCGCATATTTTTCTCAGTTTCGTAAGTGTATTTAAGTGAAACAAATAACATATAAATATTAGACAATAAATTGCTTTTACGGACGACGGGGTACACGCTTCTAGGATTCGATTGCCAGAGAACGACCAACTGGCTGAAATTTATAGAAGTCACCTTTTGTTTCATCTCTCTCCGCACTCGTTGCTCGTAAACACACGCCATTGCCGGACGAAATTAAAGACTTTTATTTCGAACAAAAGCAAATGATGCATTTATTACTTCTCAACAATTTCTATCCAGTGATATCATGCCGACGGGCTCGGAAAAGAAAGGGACGAATCGTTGTGCACGGTTTTGGTCACTCGTTACGGTCCGCAATGCCAGCGCAACTGGTTAAACTGCAGCATATTTTCTTCTTTCTCTTTTTCGTCTACGATAACTGTCAGAGTTCTTTTGCTTTTTGCGATTCGTTGCTTACAGCCTTAGGGAAGCCAACGCGAGCCAATCGATTTTAGTTTAAAACTAAACTACATCTTTGAAACTGTATCTCGAAAAACTGTATCTCTGAAAAAATTAAACATCTTTGAAAAGCTGTATCTTTGATGATTTGTGTATTCGAAATCTCGAAATTTTGGGAAGAAATTCGATACGTTTACAGTTGATCGGTACCACAAATCGAAATTTAGAATTTGCCCCTTCTTTTCCTTGCAATAAATAATGTAATTGTCAGCAACAAAGCAATTCTTCGTCTACGAGTGAAATTCACACACGATGAAACGAACGTTCGTGTGCGGCTACGTGCACAATATCCGTCCGGTTTTAATGAGTTAAGAAACGAGCGAGCCGAGCGGAGATAACAGCTGGTAATTCCTAAAATGGTAGCTTCCTCGATAACAGAAGCGTATCGCGTTCGAACGTGCCGTTCTAACAAATAGCGAGACAAACTTACTTTTCCTCCGGGCACTCGCAATCAGCCGAGTCGTGCTCCATGCCGAAATTGTGACCCATTTCATGAGCCACAGTGGCTGCTACTAATCCTACGACATTCGAGTGATCCATTGAGACACCACCGGAGAATTCATACGTACATATTGGTCCCTTAAGTGCTTTACCAACCACGCCTCCCTCGAATGTGATTCGGCTACAAGTATTTGATATTTTTTTTTTTTATATTTTCATTAACATATCGTAGGAAATACTGGCCAAAAGTTGGGGTACATTCTTGCTATATTTGCATTTGTTGGTTTGATATTTCGCTGTGGCTCGATTCATACTTTTTTTTACTGTACTATGCAATAACAGATATATTATGCATATATAGCGCGTGTGCGTGTTTTATTACAGTTACTATAATACTATAATATTAATATAATATTGTACTATAATATAATATTTTACTATAATATTATAGTACAGTTACTATAATACTATAATATTAATATAATATTGTAGTTAATATAATATAGTATTAATATAATATAGTAATATTAATATAATATTGTACTATAATATAATATGATATAATATAATATAATACAATATAATATTATGCTATATTATTATATTATACTATAGTACAATGTTATACTATAATATAATATAATACAATATTGTACTATAATATAATATGATATAATATAATATAATATAATACAATATAATATTATGCTATAGTACAATGTTATACTATATATTATAATATTATACTATTATGTTATACTATAATATAATATAATACTATACATTAATATAACGCTATATTATAATATACATATAGATTACACTATATTTTATATATATATATATATTATATAATATTACTATATATATATATATATATATGTATACTATGATACATTACTATAACATATATTATAGCACATGTATATACGCACATTTATTATAGTACATTCACAAAATACCAAAATATTCTAGGCAAGGAAACTACGATTATGCAATAAGTGTTATACTGTATATATTATACATATTATAAATACATATTAATATTAGAAGATTAATTTATTTCACACACACAAAACATGTACCCAAACTTTTTGTGTGTATGTATATATATATATATATATATATATTATATTTCATTTTATATTTTTGAAGGCAACTTTGGAAGAACATCGTTAACAGACATTTTCGTTTCTGACTTACGTCAACAGCTGGGCGTTATCGTTCGGCATGTCCTGGACTAGCTTCTCCCTCCTGTACCGAAGGAAATTCGAGAGGGTGGTGTCCCCATTTGAAGACAGCGTTATTTCATCCACGTCAGACCAAACTTGCACCCCGACTAACGCGATGAATATGTTCAGTGGCATGTACAACTGAAACATAACAGATGAATCTTCGTTCGTGGATACGACGTGTATTATTTTAGGGAGGATGGGACGTTATCGTTTAGAAGTTAGAAATTTGAAGGGTATCGTTCCAGTTTGATGTCGAATTTCGCCAATGTCGTGTTTCATTCACGAAGAGGGGACGTTTCGTCAGAAACAATCAGGCGTTTGGAGATATTTTTGTACAACGACGTTCGAAGGACGTGTGCATACTAACTGCATTAATAATGTTAGCGATATCCTTGCAGTGTTGATACACCTTGTCCATGTTCTCGTCGAGAGCGATGTATTCGTTCTTATCGATCACGAGGACCAACTCCACGTATCGGGAATGCCTGTTCGCGTTGTAGGGCCCTCGAATCGCTTCAGCCGCTCTTTTGTGCTAGAAGAAAAGGTTCAATTTGAATATTCCCAACGACAATACGACTATTTAGTCCTCGCTGTAAGTCTAGCTTTCATCTTCAACGTTCCAAGAATGTTTTCAGCGTAAAATTATTTATTATTGACGAACAATCTTTGCTTGTTTTTCTCGAGCTCGATTTAAGAAATGATAGAAAAATTGACAATTTTGTTTGAAGTAAACTTTAGATAAAGTAAGTAAAACACAGGAGGGTTTTCACGTAGTTTTTCACGTATGAAGTATGCGATGAAGCACTTCATACGATTCTTCCTTCTCTTTTTTTCTTTTTAATTAGACACGTGAGTTTTTTACTTGTAATTCCTGATATCTTCAACTCGAGAGATTTACTTTTTCAAGTAAGTATACTTCATTCTTGGTGAGTCAAAGATGAAAAAACGAATAGAGTTGAGAAGAAGGAATAGAATTGTTTTATTACAGCCTTCGTTTCCGAGAAAATCGAATTTGAAAATTTGACTTTACGACATCTGAATGTTCTGTGCGCAGAAATAAGTGAAAAATGTGCAAAATGAAATTTTTTTTCATTTTCAAGAAAACAGGCTTTGTCATACCGTATAGTTGATGAATCTTCAAACTCGATTCTCTAAAAAACGAAACATTTTACACAAAAGTTCCATTTTAAGTTTTTCATTCATTTTCGCACGTAGAATAACACCTGTCAATTATTCTTTTCTGTCACGACTGGAATTAGTTAAATTTAATTATACTCGATAAATCTTCAAATTCGACTTTCTTGAAAACGAAGGCTTAAATGAAAAAAATTTTATTTTCTTTTTGATTCATTTTTTTTTCAAGTAGCATTACCTCCTACTAATTAGAAATACACATGTGAATGAAAAAAATTTTATTCTTTCTTATCGATCCATTTCTTTTCTTTTTTTCTCAAGTAGCATCACCTACTACTAATTACAAATACACATGTGAATGAAAAAAATTTTATTCTTTCTTATCGATCCATTTCTTTCCTTTTTTTTTCAAGTAGCATCACCTCCTACTAATTACAAACACACATATGAATAAAAAAAATTTTATTCTTTCTTTTTTTTTCAAGTAGCATCACATCCTACTAATTACAAACACACATGTGAATGAAAAAAATTTTATTCTTTCTTTTCGATTCATTTCTTTTTCTTATTTTCTCAAGTAGCATCACCTCCTACTAATTACAAACACACATGTGAATGAAAAAAATTTTATTCTTTCTTATCGATCCATTTCTTTTCTTTTTTTTTCAAGTAGCATCACCTCCTACTAATTACAAACACACATGTGAATGAAAAAAATTTTATTCTTTCTTTTCGATTCATTTCTTTTCTTTTTTTTTTCAAGTAGCATCATCTCCTACTAATTAGAAACACACATGTGAATGAAAAAAATTTTATTCTTTCTTTTCGATTCATTTCTTTTTCTTTTTTTCTCAAGTAGCATCACCTCCTACTAATTACAAACACACATGTGAATGAAAAAAATTTTATTCTTTCTTTTCTTTTTTTTTTCAAGTAGCATCACCTTCTACTAGTTACAAACACATATGTGAATGAAAAAAATTTTCTTTTCTTTTCGATTCATTTCTTTTTCTTATTTTCTCAAGTAGCATCACCTCCTACTAATTACAAACACACATGTGTATGAAAAAAATTTTATTCTTTCTTATCGATCCATTTCTTTTCTTTTTTTTTCAAGTAGCATCACCTCCTACTAATTACAAACACACATATGAATAAAAAAAATTTTATTCTTTCTTTTCGATCCATTTCTTTTCTTTTTTTTCAAGTAGCATCACCTCCTACTAATTACAAACACACATGTGAATGAAAAAAATTTTATTCTTTCTTTTCTTTTTTTTTTCAAGTAGCATCGCCTTCTACTAGTTACAAACACACATGTGTGTTTGTTGGTGTCTTTCGATAAGCGATAGGAATACGTTTCAGACGACGCATGCATCTTACCCTCGTGGCTCTGTTGACGATGCCGCGGTGTTCGTGGCCGAGAACATGGTGCGGCGTTCCATCGTAACCTGTATCGAACAAAAAACCAAGATCATCGTCTCGGCCGGATTCCCGGTAAAGTTAAGGACAAAGAGCGGAGCGAGGCGGCAGAATCTCGCTCCCACATTCGTTAGGGCCGTTAAGGAAAGACCAGTCTCAGCGAGACAGGTCCTCCAAGCCAGGTAAGGAGCGCGTGCGCTGCAACGTACCAGGGTAACGCGGGTTCTAGGATCGAACTGGCCTCTCATCATCCACGGGACTTTTCTATCATCTACAGCTAAGAAAGGACAAGAATGAAAAGACAGGGCTGGACACGGACGATATTCGAGACACGTTTGTGAAATATTTTCGAAAATACTTCCAGGATCTTGTCACTGACTAATGATACAGGACACGTCGCGCAAGTAACACGAAACTCTGTTTCATACGAACTTGTCGTGGCGTGAAAATTTATTCTCTTCACTTTTAATCGTTTCACGTAACAAGAATTTCTGTTAGTTTCGATTATCAAATTTAAGTAACTCGTAGGAGTTGTGATTTAATCGCTGAAATTGTGAAAAATTTATATGTTTATAATTAGAAATAATATTATAAATAATAATATAAAATAATTAATAAAAATAATAATATAATTATAAAAAATAATATAAAATAATTAATAAATAATTATTAAAAATAATAATACAAAATAATTAATAAAAAAAATAATATAATTATAAAAAATAATATAAAATAATTAATAAATAATTAATAAAAATAATAATACAAAATAATTAATAAAAAAATAATAATAATATAATTATAAAAAATAATTGTAAATAATTATAATAAAAAATAATTATATACTTATGATCAAAAATTTTTATATTCATAATAAAATTTCGTTAGAATGAAAGCAGTAGAATTTTGCTCATCCGAATCTACTGGGGGAGCGAAGATTTAAGGGGTCAGGATAGTTTGAAATTTTCAGAAAGTCAATGTTTTTTTTTGTTTTTGTTTTAAATAGTAGTTTGAAGTACTTTAGAAATAAGATGCAAAAGATCCTAGTCTTTAAAACGACTTATTATTGATATAATAATAAATCCGCGGATACGGGATAATTGAATTTGTATTACCGTTTACAACTTTAAGCAGTATTGTAAAGTGTAAATCGTGTGAGTCAAATATTACTTTCGGTGAATCGAATATTAGGGAACTCGGATTCGATTTAGTTGCGAATTGTAAGCACCGTGAGCCGCGATATATAAGTAAAAAAAGTAAGTAAAGGATAGACATGAAAAATGACGTTCTGAAACTTTCAACGCGTTTTTCTCGAAACTAGGTTTTCAGAAACGGTGTGCAAGATACCAACCGATTACCGTGAAACTTGGTACGTATCTTTAGTGTAACATTTACTAAGGATTGACGATCGAACATTTTTTAACAATTTCGAAAAACATAAACAAAAAAACGTAGAAATTTTTGGCACAAATTCGACACGTCGAAAACAAATAGCTGCTATTTTCATAATTTTCACAAAAATGAAGATGTTGGATCGTCAATCCCTAGAGAATATCATTTACTTTTGAAATTTTCTTGCCTTTTCGTTGCAAAACTAATCCTGTTTGGCTGGAATCATGCACACCGACAGGCAATGTAAAAAAAAGTTACGTGAAAGGACGCCGTTGAAAAGTTAAACAAGAGCCCTCTTTTTTTCTTATTTTAATGTTGCCTTTTATAGTTCAGAATGTGTTAAAATAAATCATCAATGAAACATGTACTTTTTCATTAGCCCTTCAAAGCCTATCTGTAATTTTTAGCCCCCCCTCAATACAACCAAAGTTCACCAAAGTGAGCAGCAGCTGGCGCAAGCGAAAGTTGAATGAATCGAGCATAAATGGAAATAATATCGTCGCGACGAGTGGAATTGTGAACGGCATAAAAAAAAGAACACCGAGATTTTCATCCATTTTACGTTCGTTCTTCTTCAGAAAAAGAATGTACGATCGACAGTTACCGCAAGTGTGATTGGCAACAAGATCACTGTGCTTGTAGACGTAATGCTCCGAGTCCAAGGACTGCCCTTCGTCCGGGTGGATGTGGTGAAGGTTCTCGCCGTCGAAGACGACGCCGCGTAGCCCCCTGCACGTGGACAACGCCACCCAAGATCCAGGAACATCGCGAACGCTGCCCTGATAGTGGCAAAGTTCCTGCAAAATGTCATCCAACGGTTATAAAAATATCATCGTTAGGATATTGGATACGTTTTGGAGGCGTTTTGTTGACGTATCCAACTATGGCTGCCGAGTTTCAACTTTCACAGCCGTTGTTTTTTTCAAATGGACGATCGACTCGGCGAGAAGGCCTTTCGCGAATGCAAATGCGAGCGCAGACAGAACTGCTTATTGGCGGAAGGCGGGGGGAGGAAACGAAGCAGAAAGGGATGGGAAAGATCACGCTAGGCTGTTACATTTTAGCGATACAGGAAATAAAGGGGCGAGAAAGTTCGAACTGCCACTCGCTATCTAAGAAGGTCCCGGATTCTCGGACGTGTAATGTTCAGCCGTGCATCCGACCGGTACAAATATAGTTGGCCCAGATTTCCCATTGGACCAGCCATTCTCTCTCTTTCTCTCTCTCTTTCTCTTTCGCGTCTCTGCTTTTCGAAAGCGGAAAGAATCCGCGTGATTCCAAGTGCCAACGTCATCGCGAGCGTACATACCGCGAGCAGAGAGAGAGAGAGAGAGAGAGATTTATCGGTCGATTATCGCCGGATGATTTTCTCTCGGCGATTCTCTTTCACGCGCGCACGTAGACACGTGGTTGGAAAGGCGGAATTTACCATAAAAGCGAAATTTCCACCGGGTGGAAAACCGTAATTCGACGAAAGTTTCTTTTTGCAACGCGAGAGGGGAGACGCGGAGGAACGAGACAAGAACAAAGGGCAATAATTACTGGCGTTCCGAGTGCGAAACCTCTGAAGAGCGTTCTAACTAGTTGGATTCGCAGAATTTCCCCTATTTAAACGACCGAAATTAGCTCGTCCGTTTGGTCGCGACTGCAAGAGCAAATAAAGTGAACGGTGAAAGAGACAGACAGACAGAGAGAGAGAGAGAGAGAGAGAGAGAGGGGGGGGGGGCGAGGAATGGCAACTGGACGTGCCAATTCATTTATTCAATTGCATAAAATGTGAAACCAGCGAAAACACAGCGCGGCAACAAACTCACCGCGATATTCACGTCCTACCGATGTTTCGTGCTTGTCCATTAATCGTAAATAACGCGACACGGTTAGAAAGAAAAAAAAACAAAGAGAGAGAGAGAGAGAGAGAGAGAGAGAGAGAGAGAGAGAGAGAGAGAGAGAGAGAAGGAAATTTATATCAATGCCAGGTGTTTGAATCGTTAAAAAAAATGGTCGACAGCCATTTTTCTTCCTTTCCACGCGTCGTTATATCGAGAGAAGGCCGTTATTTTCCTCGCGTGATTCACGAGGTGAACGCGATCCTAACGGGTCTCGCAGAATTACGGCTCTCCTTGAAATGAACGAATAGGGAACTCATCTCGAGAGAAAGAGAGAGAGAGAGAGAGAACGTTTCTTTTCCTTCCTACAACGATTTTTAACAACGCGCTGTTCCTCAAGCGAAAATTTTCGCGGTAACTCAAGAGGCAACGTTCTCATATGGGTATCCCAGCTAACGAAAGTATCATTGAAAAACTGTTACCGCGATGCAAAACGTAGTTTCGCGACAGTTTCAGTCACTAGTAAATGTTAGCTTCTCTCAAATTCGCATTTTCTGAAAATGGCTGACGAAATGTTTTCAGTTCCAGTTCATCGATTTCCTCCGAAATACTTTCCGCGGTGTTGACAACACGACTATCAATAACAATCGTTGAGCCGATCGTTAATAATAATATTTTCAGCTCCGGAAACGCGAAACAAATCGACTCGAAATTAAACTTTAACCTCTTGCGCTAGTAACTGTTTCGCGGACCATAACGAGTGACCAAACCGTATAGAATAATTCGTCTCCTTTTTGAATTCATCGGTATATCGCTGGATAGAAATTACTATGAAGCAATAAATTTATTATTTATTTTGCCTGGATTGTATTTCAGTATACTTGAAACTGAGAAAACACGAAACAAATCGACTTGAAATTAAACTTTAACCTTTTGCGTTAGTAACTGGTTCGCGGACCATAACGAGTGACCAAACCGTATAGAATAATTCGTCTCCTTTTTGAATTCATCGGTATATCGCCGGATAGAAATTACTATGAAGCAATAAATTTATTATTTATTTTGCCTGGGTTGTATTTCAGTATACTTAAAACTGAGAAAACATGAAACAAATCGACTTGAAATTAAACTTTAACCCTCTTGCGCTAGTAAATGGTTCGCGGACCATAACGAGTGACCAAACCGTATAGAATAATTCGTCTCCTTTTTGAATTCATCGGTATATCGCTGGATAGAAATTACTATGAAGCAATAAATTTATTATTTATTTTGCCTGGATTGTATTTCAGTATACTTGAAACTGAGAAAACACGAAACAAATCGACTTGAAATTAAACTTTAACCTTTTGCGTTAGTAACTGGTTCGCGGACCATAACGAGTGACCAAACCGTATAGAATAATTCGTCTCCTTTTTGAATTCATCGGTATATCGCCGGATAGAAATTACTATGAAGCAATAAATTTATTATTTATTTTGCCTGGGTTGTATTTCAGTATACTTGAAACTGAGAAAACACGAAACAAATCGACTCGAAATTAAACTTTAACCCTCTTGCGCTAGTAAATGGTTCGCGGACCATAACGAGTGACCAAACCGTATAGAATAATTCGTCTCCTTTTTGAATTCATCGGCATATCGCTGGATAGAAATTACTAAGAAGTAATGAATTTATTATTTGTAACTTAAAACTGAATAAATATTGCAATTTTGGGCCAAATATTCTCGACGTGCGTTGTCCGAGCGCAAGAGGTTAAAGCGTGATATATAGAATGACGAAGAATTCGGATCGATCGATTTGGAAAGTAATTGTCTTCTCATTTTTAAAATAAATTCCTTTCCGTCAGATGCCAAAAATATGCGTTTGCAACTTTTCCTTTTACAGAAAGTCAATTACCAACAATCAGTTTACGTATTCGTCGCGTTTAAGACGTAAAACTGAGAGCGCTGCGTCAGAGTCTCTTCCAAAGAGCTGAGGAAGAAAGTACACGAGTCTCGTTCTCAGAAGAAAAAAAATCCCGAAATAAACGCCCAAAGTGGTAGTGTAAACTGTAGCCTGAGAAGGCGTTTCGTTGCCAAAGTCGGCTATGGTTAAATAAAGGTAAAGCGTGACCAACGTTTGGGTTGCGCCACGGTTATGCCGCGCCACGCTGGCTCGTCAACGTTATTCAAGAGTGATCGATACTCTCGAAACGTCCGTGACCGTTTATACTCTATACCAGAGCGTCCTGTTGGACAGCAGTGAGTCACTGTTATCGATTTCAACGTTCTCTGCACCTGTGCACTTGGCCGTCGAATTTCGTTTCTAGCAACGATGTTCCTCGAGAAAATTTCACGTACACAATAATATCCGCTCTTAATATCGTGTCTGTAGAAAGTCTCCAAAGCTTTTCAAGCCGATTCAAGTCGCGTCGAAGAGATCTGATTAATCGCTTCCAGTTTCCATCGAGCAGAAACTAGTTTCTACAGCCCTGACCCTCGACTTGCAACTCGCAATCCCCAGAGGAGGTTTTTCGCGTCGCGATTACTTTTAGCTGGAAATTCCCTTTATCCCGATATCGTCATATCGTTGTCACATCGGATAAAAATATTGAAAATTTTCAACTTTTTTTAATAGCGATCAAATTATTTCTTTCAGACATCATTGCGTTGTTGCATCAGATGACAATAGATCACCTGCGATATTTTGTTAAAATTTTTTTCACGCGGAAGGTTGCGCCTGGCAACTGATTGCGGACCATAACGAGTGACCAGACCGTATACAATAATTCTTTCTCTCTGAACTCTCGTCGGTACGATGTCACTGGATAGAAATTATTGAGAAGTGATAAACTTATCGTTTGTTTCGCCTGGGTTACAGTTAAATATACTTAACACTGAGAAAATGTTGCAATTTTGGGACAAAAAATTCTCGACGTGCGTGGCACGTCACTCCAGCGCAAGAGGTTAATTATCATAAAAATGAATGGTCGTGGATTTTAATTAAAATTCGTTTAGCGCTGGTTTATCTTCGTACGATTTCATTTCTCTCGCGTTAAAGAAAAATAAATTATTTCGCTTTATTTATTGAAAATGCATTCTTCAAAATGTGCGGGAGAGAAATCGCAGGTTACTTGGCTATTATAATTCGGGAAATATTATTGTACAATATATATAATTTTTGACCGCCGAATAAAGAAATTTTACTTTTTCAACTTCAATCCTATATTACATAGATACATGCACATATGTACATGCTCTGTCACATATATCAAAAAAATGTTCTCGGTTTTACTGTTATTAACAGACTGCGAATTTTCTTGCAGATTCACATTTTTATGAATAAAATTTGGGAGAAAGAAGATAGACAGAAAATTGTCTTTTCTATTAACTATTATACAGAGAATTGCAATTTGGACATTTTATATTCTTTTGCATGTTACATGCATTCCATTTTGTACCTTCAAATTTCTTATAAATGCATAAAACTCCGCACTAATTATAAAATATGCAGACAATCGTATACGTATAACAATATTTATTTGTGCAACTGTCCTCGACTGTGTAAATTCAGAGCACATGCGTCAAATTAACGATGCGTGATTCACGATGCAGAGCAAATTGAAAAGAACACGAGACAAAGGAAAGAAACGCAAATTATTCATATCTGCCATTATTGAACTTCGCCATCATAATAAAATTCACCTCCAATTTCATTAAGAAAAAAAAAAAAAAAAAAAGAAAAAAAATCAGGAATATTAACTTTCTCCGATCTCAATTCGGTGATCAGAAAGCGTGTTACTGCAGGAAAACTACAAAAGGTAAAATTGTACTTACGACTTTCGCGGGTGTGTGGACCTTGTACGTGCCTTGGTGCTGATGACGCTGCTGATACCCGACTGGAATTAGATCAGCGTTCAATCTCAGGTCCAGGACACGCTTCACGCCGTCTAGCTCGAATCCCACTGTCAGTACGTCAGCGTGTTCGACGTCCTGGAAGCAGAAGAAAAAGGCAAGGTTAATCTCTTGCTACGTACGTCGAGAATTTTTTGTCGAAACCAAAATTGCAGTTTTTGCTCAGTTTTAAATATACTGTTTCAAAATTTCAATATTTCCTCAGTTTTAAGTATACTGTGTTCGAAAATTGCAATTTTTGCTCAGTTTTAACTATATTGTCCCAAAATTGCAATATTTTCTTAGTTTTAAGTTTATTGTTCCAAAATTGCAATGCTTCCTCAGTTTTAAATATACTGTTTCAAAATTGCAACATTTCCTCAGTTTGAAGTATACTGTCCCAAAATTTCAATATTTCCTCAATTTTAACCATATTGTCCCAAAATTGCAATATTTTCTTAGTTTTAAGTACATTGTCTCAAAATTGCAATATTTCTTTAGTTTTAAGTATATTGTTCCAAAATTGCAATTTTTGTTTAGTTTTAAGTATACTGTCCCAAAATTGCAATATTTCCTCAGTTTAAAGTATACTGTCCCAAAGTAGCAATATTTCTTCAGTTTCAAGTATACTGTTCCAAAATTGCAATATTTCTTTAGTTTTAAGTATACTGTCCCAAAATTGCAATATTTCCTCAGTTTAAAGTATACTGTCCCAAAATAGCAATATTTCTTCAGTTTTAAGTATACTGTCCCAAAATTGCAATATTTCCTCAGTTTAAAGTATACTGTCCCAAAATAGCAATATTTCTTCAGTTTTAAGTATACTGTCCCAAAATTGCAATATTTCCTCAGTTTAAAGTATACTGTCCCAAAATAGCAATATTTCTTCAGTTTTAAGTATACTGTTCCAAAATTGCAATTTTTGTTTAGTTTTAAATATATTGTCCCAAAATTGCAATATTTCCTCAATTTTAACTATATTGTCCCAAAATTGCAATATTTTCTTAGTTTTAACTATATTGTCCCAAAATTGCAATATTTTCTTAGTTTTAAGTATACTGTCCGAAAATTGCAATATTTCCTCAGTTCGAAGTATAACCCAGGCAAAACGAATGATAAATTTATTACTTCTCAATAATTTCTATCCAGTGACATCGTACCAACGAGTTCGAAAAGAAAGCGGCGTATTATTGCATACGGTTCGGTCACTCGTTATGGTCCGCAATCAGTTGTGGAGCGCAAGAGGTTAAAAGTTAGCGGGGAATGTCGCAGCAGAGGCATGGTGGTTTTCCTGTCGCGTAACTGCGCGTTTCCGCGCGAACGCCCGATAAAACTTCCTCGAATCGGTATCCGAATGCATTATAATCGTTCCGAAGCTCGGCATTATGCACCTGTTGCGCGGCGCAACCGTCGAGCGCCGACGTCGGGATCAAGATAAAAGAAGAAACACGTCGCGATCCGCGTGGAAATCGAATCCGACGGGGGAAACCGAGCCAACGTGCCAATTAGCTTCGATTTCTGACCAGTTTACCTAACCTGAAAATACCCTCCCCCTCCCTCCCTCTGTTAACGATCCTTAGATTCAACGATCCGACAATAAAACGCTGTTGCTTGGGCGTTCCGCGTGCCAGTTTGCTCTACGAGAAGATTTTCTATATAAACCTGTACACAGCGAAGGGCATGATTGCCACTTGTAACGACAAATCCTCTGTGCATTATTTCTTTGTTGGTATTAACATCGAGACGTATTAAAAAAAAAGAGATTTTTTTTTGAATTTTTTTGAATTTTTCTTTTAGCAGATGATTGGTATACTATGGTGTGTAAATATTTGAAAATTATTCTGAATTAATGCAGATTTATGAAAAATAGAATTTATGAGGGGCGAATCTTTTTAATTTAATTGTGTCATGTAGAATTGTTAATATCAATGTCGATTAGGATAACATATGTATAAGTGACAATTGAAGATAGCTGAACATTAATTGAGACATCTTTTGTTAGTTAAATGATTCTTTGAGTATATTTTTAAGTAGTTGTTAGTTATTTAGTTAAGTGATTTTGTAAATATACTTTTAAGTATATTAAGTATATTATGTGTACATTAGTATGTTAAGTACATTAAGTTAAGTGATTTTTTTAAATATATTTTTAATATATATTAATAAATATATACTTTTATTTAATATATTAATTAAATAATAATTACAATATTAAATATATTAAATATACTATAATTATTATTTAATATAAAGTTAATATTTTTATTATTTAATATAAAGTCAATATTTTTATTAATATATTAATAAGTATGTATTTTTAAGTACATTAAGTTATGATTTCTTAAGCATATTCGTTCATTGTTTTTTTTTTTTTTTTTAAGTTAAACTTCGAAAAGTTTATACAAACTTTACGACAGCGTTAGCTATTTATTAACAATGGAATATGGAATTTAAGCGACACAAGTATATTTGCATCAAACTAAATTCAACTTCACCTCAGAGTACGACGCAGGAAATGAATACTAAAAATATGTTCATTGAACGTTAACTGTGAAAAACGGGACAAAAATATCAACTTTTCGATATAGAATTGCACCAGCTGCTCAATTATTTATTCACCACAGTGTGATTAAAGCCTTTCATACCGGGAATTAACGAGCAGGGGATAAAAATACGCGCGCGGAATGGAATTTCCAGATTCCCCTATTTTGATATTAAATTTCATTTATTCAAACACAGAAGTCAAAAAATACCGCCAGGCTGTTTCAATATCTGTTATAAAATTACCATGCTTTTTAACTGTTTACTCCGTTATCATACAAATGAGATTAAAAATTCATCAAGCATGCCTGGGCTTCCTACGTGATTCCGGATTGAACTGGAATTATTAATAGGAGATTATTACGCGCGTGAATGATAAAACGTGGAGTGAAATCTTTTTTCTTTTTCGCGAGCGAAATTAAATTCAAATATTTATCAAGCGATGTGTACAGCAATTGTTATAATTTCAAGCTTAGATATCCAAACTTCGTTCATTCGAAAGATACTTATTCAACGGATCTCTTCTAACGATTTATTTTATTCTACGCCATGTCTTTTCACGTGCTCGCATACTCTGCAGATTTTACTGAAATAACAAGATTATTGGAAGTCACATGGTTCTAACGTAATTCAATTCCCATCGAAACTCTTTTTATTCCTTACACATATATATCTCTTTGTCATTTAAACTTTATGGTTTATCGGAATTTTCCATCTTCTGACTGCATTGCGTCTGATCAAAAGAAAATTTTGCACGCGCTTTCGAATCTCGGACGATATTTTAGTGAATATTGATTGAATATCAGATATATTCACGAGCTTCAAACGTCGGATTTTATCCTCGTCTTTTGTTTTTTTTTTTTTTTTTTGCCTTTCGCGCAATTTTTTCACGGTCGATTCTCGGTCGGAGGTTAGCCGGAAAGTCGACCCCTTAAAAATTTATATTCCCTGCAGAGCGACGGGACTCAAAAAGTCCGGCTGGACAGGGCAGACGAAAATGAATTTACGAATCTTGTTTGCACCTTCCCTCGCTCGAATCCATCGCATGTTTAATTCATAGGAAATGCGTCCCAGCGCCGGCAGCGTTTCGAGTTTCTCACTGAACAGGAAATATCTGATGCCTGCTATCTTCGTATCCAAGAAACGTCGCTACGGTGACGTTCTACGGTAGGTGAAACGGAAGTAGTTAACATTGTATAAGGAAACCGAGGGATCGAAAATGTGTCGAACCAGAGAATCGAACAAGGGAGTACCGTCTTGATGTGCTTTGTGCAACCAATGGTGCCCATACCATGAGGTGTATCAAATGAGACAAAAAAAACTTAAATATATACGTCTAATATTGTAATAATTTCCACCTGTCTGTCTTTTCATTTGCCTTTGTAATGAATTTTTAAAATTGTAAAGGGAACTTTATGAACACCCTAGTATATTTAGCTATGTACGTAATTCTAATCGCGAGCTGGTAAAAATTCCACGAAGTAATACATATACATACGTATCTGATACTGTGAGATTCAGAAACAGCTATTTCTTAAGTATTCTATCATACTTCATTGTATTTAAAAATGTAACACACTTAATCACAAATTTAGATAAAAGTAGACAGTTAATATAGTTTCCTTGCCAAAAAAAAAAAATGACTAATATTTTTTTCCCTATTTTAACCTTTGTTTAGGCTATTTCATTCTATCACACTTCATTGTATTTAA